TGCTGAGAAAGTTAAAACTTGTCCTTATCAGTTCATTAAATGTAAAACAGTGGAGTGTAGCCAGACATCTTATGTCCACTGATTTCAATCATTCTGCTTCTTGCTGTGACTCCCTCCATGTGAAGCAGTGCTGAGCATCACTCTCATGAGCACATCACAGTGTTTAGAGTGGATACACATTGTAGTTAATTAAAACATGGTTAAAGGTTACATTCTTGTTCAGTTCAGTTATAAAACAGTGCTCATACTTCAAACTCAGTAAAAGTTACATTCCATTTAAGTGAAGACTGGTGCTTCAGTTACAGTGTCTTCAAACAGTCTAATATTCCACAGCATGTAATCATGTATGTATACTATGACCAAATGAAGGCCACACTTTTATTTCCAAAAACAGTGTCATATTAAGATAAGAATTTCCAAACAGTGTTTGTGCTGTAATCATACAGGAACATTAATATTACATTCCATATAGTGTATAAAGATACTAGTGTTTTCTACAATACATATTCTTTTGTGCACAGTGAAAAGTGTTAATGCCTGAAATTGCAATGTCTCACACAGTTAATATCTGACAAATGTCAAAATAAAAGCCGGACGGAAAGCAGCGGAACTGAATCAAGACAAATTCCCCCTTTTGACATGATTTTATCATGTCAAACAAAAAACAAAAAAACAGTGGAGAATTATAAACCGTATTGGGGGACTGGCCTGAATGTCAGAGACAAATCAGACTTTTGATTTGATTTATTCTTTCAAACATGTAACAACAGTCAATATGTCAACACACATAATTCCACACATAACCACAAATATATTTTCAATTTGCTTATACCTAGTACTTGCTTGAACGGAGTAGGAAGAAGTTAGACTTATCTAGTCCTACCCCCTAACATCATCTTATCGTCATTGGTTTGCAAGCAGTATTACTACATGGATAATTTTGTTCTACACCACGCTAGTGATATACTAAAAACACCACACTCCCAATGTTACACCTGATTAATCGTTAAGCTTGTTCTTGCCCATATCTTGATTGACACATACCTTTATATTTGTGTTTAAACTCATCAAT